ATGTGTGTGTGTTCTTGTGTATGTATTTGGTGTGTGTTACTAGAGTTACATGAAACGATGTATTTGGTGTGTGTTACTAGAGTTACATGAAACGCTGCAGTTGTTACTTGTTACATGAAACGGTGAAGCTGTTACTACAGTTACTGTTACTAACTACAGTTACTGTTACTAGTTACATGAAACACCGTAGACCTGCTACTAGAGTTACATGAAACGCCGTAGTTGTTACTACAGTTACTGTTACTACAGTTACTGTTACAAGAGTTACTGTTACTAGTTACATGAAACGCCGTAGCTGTTACTGCAGTTACATGAAACGATGTAGCTGTTACTAGAGTTACTGTTACTAGAGTTAAATGAAACGCCGTATCTGTTACTACAGTTACATGAAACGATGTAGCTGTTACTAGATATACATAAAACGCCGTGGCTGTTACTAGAGTTAAATGAAACGCCATAGTTGTTACTAGACTTACTGTTACTAGACTTACATGAAACGCCGTAGTTGTTAGTAGAGTTACTGTTACTAGAGTTACATGAAACGCCGTGGCTGTTACTAGAGTTACTGTTACTAGAGTTGCTCTTACTAGAATTACTGTTACTGGAGTTACATGAAACGCCGTAGCTAGCAAGGTTTAGAGCAAGTGTGTAGAGGTTCTATAAGTATGGGACTCTATGTACTCTTGGCTCTCTTCATTTGTCGGCCCATAGATCGCAGCTGCAGACAAACTTGTGCGGTGTCACAGTCAGACATGCGAGAGATGTGAGTTATAATCTGTAGTAGTGCAAGGAGAGGTTTTGTGGGGGAACTCTAAGTCGTCTTTCGGATGAGACGTTGGTTGTGGGTGGTTGGCGGGTGCTCTGGTGTGGTTTGCTTTCCTATCAAACATATATCGTCCTTTTCACTTCTTTTTCTTTTTGTTTTTGTTTGTTTGTTTGTTTGTTACTCTCTTGTAACACCTCGATTCTTCTGACGCTCATTTGGCCTTATGCAGTTGCGAGCGCCGTAAAACCTCTACTAAAACAAACAAGACGTTGTCATCGATTTTTTTAAATGTAGGCACGTTGTGCTGGGTGGTGTGTTGGTAATCGCATGAGATTCCGAACCATTTGATTCTTTGGTGTTGTATGTGATGCATGACATCATTTGCGCC